CAGGTTTATCACTTAAATGGAATGATCTTGTAACATCTCACTACTTCCACTCTCTCAAACCATTCTTTCCTCACTCTGTACTCGAAACATATTGGGTTGTTCCTCACTCTATTGAACCTTTACATTCTTGTTTCCTCTTCCTAGAATGTTCTCTCCATCTGCCTCCTTTAGCAGATATCTATTGTCCTTCAGATGCCAGCTAACCTGAAACCCTGTAATGGTAGCCCTCTCTCATCCGTCAGACCAGTGTATCCTTCAGACCATTATCATTCACTCTCATGGTCTGGTGTACTAAGAATTATTTCATTTTCTATAGTTGTCATTTCACATTCATTTCTGTGATACTTGATTAAACTCATCTTACCTATCAAGATGCTGAGCTTCCTGAGGCAATATTTGACTCTCTGCCTTACTTCCTAGTGTGTGTTCATCAGTATTCAGTTTAATGCTTGAATGTTTCTGCTCCGCCTCCTGGTCTCCATGCTACCCATACATAATAACAACAACATCAAACATGCAAACTCAATGAACACAATGAAGGCACACAATCTCTGACATTTGCTATGGGGTCAAACCCACACAGACCTTGTATGTGATTTAGTAAGATCTGGTACTCTCTGGTAGTGTAGTGCCTCAGGTATTTGACTGCCAGCCAGAAGGCTGGTGGCTCAAACCCACCAGCCATTCCTTAGAAGGCAGGTAAGGCAATCTACTTCCTTAGTGATACTGCCTCAGAAACCCAAGGAGGGATCGCTATGAGTCGGATCTGACTTGACGGCAATGAGTTTGGTTTTTTTGATTTTGGTAGGCAAATAAGATGAACTTTGAATGAAGCTCACTGAATGCTGGGTAGGATCAAAGAAGCAGAGTAAGGACATTCAACATGGATGTGACAGCATGAACAAATGTTTGAGGCATAGGTGAGAAACTGGGGAGTGTACTTTTACTAAGATGCAAGATGTCTGCACAGATCCATCAACCAATGTTCGTAGAAGTCAATATAACCATAAAGAAGGCAACCATGAAAATGCTGTCTTCAGGAAGTTCTCCAGCACTGTACTTATAATAGTAAAAGCTAGGAACAATTGAAAGCAAGCTTTCTGGTATTGTTCAAGTCTACTATGCTATCCCCACATTAGTTATAGGAAAACTTCCATTCTCTTGTTATATTGGAGTATGTCAATATTGTCCTCACTTCCTTGCCATTTTTCAGTTAGGTATCCTGCACATACTAAGCCTCAGAATGATCCTATAATCCTTCACACTTTATATGTTTTGTCTTGCTGGTCCAGGACTGCAAATTATATGCATAACAGTTTCTATAGTTTCAGAATTTCTTTTCATGAGAGCTCTCCAGGTTCATCTTCTTTGTTTTGGACACAAATCCTCTTAGGAGTTCTGACTCCCATGGTTCTGACTTCTTCTTTTGCTTTCTGGAGAAAATGCCCTCCAGACTCTGATGACTTTACCAGGATAATAGTAGAAAGAGTGGAAAAAATGAAGAAATTCTGGCATAACTATGCCTTCGGGAAATCACAGTTAAATAACTAGCCTGTTATTTCCCTGTAAAATCGTCATGCAAAATATTCAGTATTGCAATAGTCAAGGACTCTGAGAAGACACTGGAAACAAAATCAATTCATATTAAATGTTGAATCACTCATGCAGGTACAAAAGACAAATCCATGAACACAAGGAACAACTAATCATTTGGACTTAATGCATCACTTGGTTAGTTCAGAAGTGGGTGATTATCTGCCCTTTAGTTTAGTCCTGTACATCTACTTGGTGGTGATATGGTAGAAGGCCAGCCCCAATATGTTAATAGCAGCTGAAATTAAGAAGGTATTTCTCCAACACAACTCTGAATCCTGGAGGCAGAAAACAACAAGTCATTACCTGTTATCCAGTTCTTGTCCCTCATGGTTCATAAAGGCTCATATTCCCCCAGCTCTGCTCCAGCCTCTGTGGGCTTTCTGGTTATTCCTAGATATGCCAGGCACATTTCTGCCTTGAAGCCACTGCCCTGGCTATTTATTCCTGTGCTGGAACACTGGATATGCATTAATTACCTTTAGTATCTCACCTCCTTCATGTGCTTGCTTAACTGGTGGTTACCTTTTCAATAAGGTGTTCTTTGACCACTTGATTTAAAGTTGAAACTTCACTCACCTCTTACATGTCTTATTTCCATTTTCAATTTTATTATTCTCTTAGCACTTACCACCACCTACTGTAGCAAAAAAAAAAAAAAAAAAATGTACTTATTACATTTTTTTTGGGTCAATTTTTTGTATAATATAAGCTTCATCAGGGCAAGAACTTTTGTTTGTTTTATTTCCTTAAGCAACATTTACTTTTGGACTATACTAAAATTTAATATATATATTTATTGAATGAATGGATAGATGAATGAATGAATTATGGGATATAAGTTCAATTTGAGAATTTGTATATTAGAAAACCATTTCTTATGCCAGTCAATATTTGGAAGGAAACTGAAGATTCAGGGAAGAAAAAAAAAAAGGAAGAAGGGACTGGATGTCATAAAGACTACCCTTTCTTTGTTAAACTCCATTCATTTTCCTGAATCATTGGTGGAAAATAACCAGGACCTTAAAAAAGAATGTTCATATTGGTGTCATAGGCATCGTTCTTCATGAGTAAAATTCTTTAGCAAAGGTTTGTTGCATTGAGTGAATTCTTAATCATCACAATTGTAAATACACTTTTGGAGTTTCTGGGTTGTGCAAAAGAGTTAAGGCCTTTAGATGGCAACCAAAAGATTGCTGGTTTAAGTCCACCCAAAGGCACCTTGAAAGAAAAGCCTGGAAATCTACTTCTGAAAAAAACAGCCATTGAAAATTCTATGGAGAAGAGATCTAACTTGACACAGAGGGTCACCATGAGTTGGAATCAAGTTGATGGCAATGGGTTTGATTTGATTTAACTGCAGCTTCAAGCATACAAGTCTCTGTAAATATCAAAACACCATGCAAGTCATACTGGTTAGAGGAGTTTCTGCACTAACCATTCATGGGCATAAATGTGAGGTGCAGGTTGCTCCTTCACTCTGTCATTCACTCAGATCTTATTTGTTCATTCTGTCAATATTTGTTGGATTCCTACTTAGTAGGGTGACCTAGTCCTCCCTCTTGGCCAAAACTTTCAAGGTTTTAGCGCTTATAGTCCTGCATTCTAGGGAGCATCTCAGTTCTGGGCAAACCAGCCTGGTAGATCACCCTATTCTTTAGAGGAAATACTAAGATTATTGCTAGATATGTTGATGCTTACCATGAGAGCCTCAAATGACAAGAACTGAGAAAAAAATAAACTCACAAAACTCAACACTCCTCATTTTACACCCTGTGTGGTAATTTCCCTTAATGACCAGAGTCAAGGTTGGAAATGAGAACATTTGCTGAAGACTCTTCAGCTGAGAGCTGAAGAATATTGAGAAGGAAACAAAAATACCCTTATTCAGACTTTTACTGGGTGATCTCTATAGATCCTACACATACTCTTTGAGTTTTTCCTTAAGAATATTTTCTAGAATGTATGACCTCACCTGACTGAGGAAAAATCCAAGAGTAGTGAGAAAGATGGCTCCAACTGTGAGTGTGAAGGTGGAGCAAACATGGGTCCCTGCCCAGTGCTCCATCAGGCCCAACTGAGTTATCATGTTTATTATCTGCCTCCAACCAAGGCAACAGACAGGATGAGGACTGAGCTTTGATTCATGAGTTATCATGTCCACCCATCTATCTTAACCAAGGTGGGAATAATAATGAACAGGCAAGGAGAAAACACATTAACCCTGTTTCTAGTTAGAGTGGGGGATAACATGGAGAGGATGTGTGAATTGAGCTTCAATTCAGCTCAGCTCAGCTCTTAAGGAACTGAGTTATCATGTTTAGTTATCTGCCTCCAAGCAAGGTAACAGACAGGATGCTGACTGAAATTTGACTCCAAATCCATTGCTGTTGAGTCGGATTAGACTCATAGTGCCCCCTCCTTGGGCTTCTGAGGTGGTATCACTGCAGAAGTAGGTAGCTCAACTTTCCTTCCAAGGAGTGGCTGGTGGGTTTGAATCACCAGCCTTCTGGTTAGCAGTCAGATGCCTTAGGCATGAGGCCACCAGAGTCCCGAACTTTGATTCTATTCTGCTTCAAGTGCAAAGACTTGTAATAGTCCCATGAGAAAGCCTGTGTGTCTGTGTGCGAGAGAGAAAAATAGTGAAACATTCTCTTGTTAGCACAGGGTTCTTCTCCTTTGGTTTGTTGCAACTCTGTGCTTATCTCTAGGGATTTCTGGAGTTGTGCTGACCCTTAGACAAACATGAATGAAATGGGCTGAATAGTGACTAATGTAATCCTGATCTAGGATCTGAAACTTCCAAGAGACAAACTGCACTAACTTGTCTACATTGTTTATAGAAAATGAACACATCAATGGTTTGCACCAGGTTTTTATGTTATCTTGGTTTCTGCTATTTTGGCAGCCATTTTTTGGGTTCAAAAGACCGTCATTGTTGAAAAATGGTTCCCCTGAGGCCAGGGTGTCTCCCTGGTATCTTGGCTGTTCACTATCTGAGGATTAAAGTTATTCTCTTTGACAGAATGGATTTAGAGCTCTTCATATAGAAGTTTCCGTGATCTCTGATCTTGACTTATACTTTCTTTTGTGTGCTGTACCATATGCTTCCCTTTATTAAAGCTTTACATGAGCATACTCTGTGAAGTCTCCTGAGTCCTATTAATTATCCAATCTTGTGTGCTGCATTCCAACAGAGATCATAGTTGTGTTAAGGTCTTGGCACTGTGATGTTATAAGCCACTATATTGATCAGATTTAGGCCCCTTCTAGGAATTATTTGCATGTGGGGCCAGTGCTGACTGGCCTGTGACTTGCTGCACATGCCACATCTTGTCTGTGTGTCAGAGCAAATTTAAGGCTCTTTGAATGAACTGAGCTTCTGTGAGGATGAGGCAAAAATATCCCTACTGAGGAACAATATCTAGGAAGTTAACAAAGGCTCCTGAGTTACCAAAGCTGTGGAAGGCAGGAGATAGTATAATGATGGCCACAGTAGCATTGGTGTTGAATCTGACCCAGTACAGGGACACCATGAACATGGATGGGAGAAGAACTCCTGGGGGGAGGATAGACACAGACAGAGTAAGTAAATGATTTCTCTGGATGTTCTACTAACCACGCCTATAACTGACTCCCTTCTTACCTATGGCACTGAAGAATTTCCTTGTTCTTCAGTGATAATTGCTAGTGATAAGCCTGAAAGGAGAAAATCTGCCAACAGACCTCCAAGAAAGCAGGTCAAGCCAGCTACAAAAGGCAGGGCAGACAGGATCACCTCTAAGGATGAGACATGAGGTGAGGTCTAGGACCTCACCACCCACTCCACCATGATCTAGACTGATGGTTGGACTGATTGCCCACTTCTGTGACTTTTATCTATGTACTTATTACTTTTCATAGATTTTTTTTTTTTTTGCTACTGGATTATGTCAGTATAATTTTAGTGCCTGGGGAAAAATATGCATATGAGTGAATTTGTAGAAAAGGACTCATGCATTTTACATAAATATCCTCTGGAAATAAAAAGACCAAAACCAAGCAGAAAAAATAGGGATATGATATAACAGACAATTTAAAGAAAATAAAAATATTTAATATATTGAAAGGTACTCTCAACCTCACTTATAATAATAGATGTGCAAATAAAATTATGTTGAGATACCATTTTTCATGGAACAAATTGGCAAAATCCAGTGTTTTTAGTGTGTATTTTGGTGTCACTGCAGGGAAATAGGTGCTCTCAATAATTCTGAGTGCTTTCAGGAGGGAGTTATGGATTGAGTTGTATCCCCCAAAATACCTACTCTCACATATTGATTACCTCATGATCTGACATTTTGCATTTACAACAATAGTAAAAAACCTATTGAGTTTTTTGCACATCAGTTACATATATCTGTCAGTAATGAATACTGAGGTGAAAGGCAAAAATAATGCTGGCTGTGATGTTAACCACAAGTTATTTGTTAACTTGGCTGGGCCGTGATTCTCAGTGGTTTGGCAGTTGTGTAATGATGTACTCTGGCAATTATGTAATGATTAAATCTGGTGCTTATGCAATAATGTAGTCATCCTCTATTTTGTGATTGATTTGGTCATCCTTCATTTTTGCATAACATTAATTTTCATATAACAACCTGGTGTTTGGAATCTCATCATGTTGATAAGTGTGGAGTGGATATACATGTGGAAGGTATTACATCTGTAAATGTAAATACGATTCTGTTTAGAAAAAAAGAATGTTTCTTTAGTTATACTAACGAGGTCATACAGAGTAGGGTGGGTTCTTTACTTAATTCCTTCTGAGTGGTATCTTATAAAATGAGAAAACAGACATGGAAAGACACACATACACAGGGTAAAGACAGATAACATGTGACAATACAGCCACCAGGGGGCATGAAACACCAAGGAACACCTAAGGCAACACGGAAAGAAAAATCCTTGCTTAGAACTTAGAGCTAATTCCCTGATTTGCACTAGTAGTCTCCACAATTGTGAAATAATTAATTCTATTCTTTAAAGCCCCCACTTGTGGTAGTTTTTTTCATGGAAACATTAGGTAACTAGGAGAGAGGGCCATTTAACAATATATAAAAATTTCATACTGTATATTCACTTTGACTCACTAATGTGATATGTAGAAATTTACAGAAACAGTTTTACAAATGCAAAATTACAAATGAGCAAGGTTTTCACTGCAGAACTGCTAAAAAAAAAAATAGAAACAGCATTACTCAGTAAGGAAGTTTTCATATATTAATATGAAAGATCTCCAAGGTATTTTAAGTGACAAAAAACTAATATACAAAAACCAACCAAACCAAATCTACTGCCATCAAGTTGATTCTGACTCATAGCAACCCTATAGGACAGAGGAGAACTGTGCCATAGGGTTTCCAAGGCTGTAAATCTTTTACAGAAGCAGACTGTCTCATCTTTCTCCTGTGGAGTGGCTGGTGGGTTCAAACCACTGACCTTTTTGTTAACAGCTCAGTGCTTTAACCACAGTGCCATCAGAGGTCCTCTAATATAATAAATAGCAGCATATACTGCAAACTATGTTCTGTGTAAAATAAATTGGGAAAATAGAGCATGTATTCATGTATGCTGATATTTCTATAAACATGTAAGCATATATAAAAAATTAATTTAAAAAATGTTTGTGGAGTGGGCATAGAGATCAGGGCAGACTGGGCAAAGGTTGAGGATTAAGATTTTCAATCTATACATTTCTATATAGCTTTTACAATGTTGAACCCTGTTAATTGATGAGCAATCAACCTCCAAACTAAAATTCAATAATAAAAAAAAAAAAATACAAGTTGAATTTTTACCCTGCATAAAGAGACCATCCAGTGTTGTGTAGAATCCAAACAATGGAAAGGATTTAGCCTTTTTATCTTTTATTTTTATTCTATGTTTTTTTTCTTTTTCTCCTGTCCTTCTTCTCCTTTTTTTTCCCCTTGCCTCAGCCAACAGGAAGATGATATTAACTTCCCACCAGTCAGCTATATCTACTGTAACAACCACCTTATTTAATGGATAAGCACCTACACTATTGGATCAATGACAGATGGTGGACAACACCTCACCATCCCAACTGCAGCTCCTCTTCATGATAGAGACTCATGCTCACATTCCCAAAAATAAACTCCATGGTGGGATCTACTGGAGAAGCTGAGTAGCTGCTTTAGGGATGTGGGCTGCTTGCAGTATATAAGAAGCAACTTGGAGGTAGGTCTCCAGCTTTTTGGCACGCATGAACCCTGCATGTAGCCAAGTCATTGTTCAGCAGCCTGCCGTGGCCTGCTGATCTTGGGACTTTTCCTGGACTTGAATTTGTGACCTATCATGTTGTTTGGTAATATTGGGACTGTGTCTTTTACTTGTCTACCTTGGGTTTGTCAGCCTCAGCAGCTAGCAGCTGCTTGAGTGAAGAAAAGCCTCCAGCTTCATTGGGCCAGGAGCAGGAGGCAGAGCTGAAGCCCAAGATCAAGGGGTTTTTACCCAGCCCTTAGAGGCTGGCACTTCAAACTCAGACTTCCAGCCTCCAAAACTATAAAAAAATAAACTCCTCTTTGTTAAAGCCATCCCACTTGTGGGTATTTCTGTTAGAATGGTACTAGAGATAATCAAAACATATATGTGCACACTTCTCTGAATGTTCACAAAGTGAATAGATTCTCTAATTTGCTTTGAGGAACTTTTTAATTCCTGGTTGGTGTGTGTCACAAAAATGGTGAAGAGTGAACTAGGATACCATGACCTGTTAGTGACAAGTCATACAAAGAAATAGGACAAGATAACAAAAGCAAATGACCAAACTAAAGAATTAGGAAATCTCCCAAGGAAGAACAGGTAATAGAACTATCTGATAAAGAATTCAAAAGATATATATACAGGAGCACTGGTGGTGTAGTGCCTAAGGCATTTGACTGCTGACCAGAAGGTGGCGACTTAAACCCACCAGCCACTCCTTGGAAGGAAGACTGGGCAATCTACTTCCCTAGAGATACCACCTCAGAAAACCAAGGAGGGGTTGCTATAGAGCTAGGAGATCTCCCCAAGGAAGAACAGGTAACAGAACTATCTGATAAGGAATTCAAAAGATAAATATATATCTCACTACCAGTTGAATCCAACTCATAGCAGCCCCTCCTTGGGGAATCACTACGGAAGTAGATTGCCCAACTGTCCTTCCAAGGAGTGGCTGGTGGGTTTGAACCACCAGCCTTCTGATTAACAGTCAAATGCCTTAGGCATTATGCTACCAGAGCATATATATATATATATATATATATATATATATTCTTAAGAGCAGCTGAGGAAAAAAGAAATATTGCCTATAAAGGGCAAGCAAAGACTAAACTCTGATTTCTCACCAGAAAACATGCAGGCAAGAAGGCAATGGGATGATGGGATGATATATACAGAACTTTGAAGGAAAAGAATTGCCAACCAAGAATTAAACATCCAACCAAATTGTCCCTCAAATATGATGGTGAAATTAGGACATTCTCAGATGAACAAAGGGAGCTCTAGTAGCTTAGTGGCTAAGGCACTGGACTGCTAACCAGAGGACTGGCAGTTCAAACCCACCAGTAACTTCTTAGAAGGAAGATGAGGCAATCTATTTCCATAGTGATACTGCCTCAGAAACCCAAAGAGAGGTCGCTATGAGTCAGGGCCAACTCCACGGCACACAACAACAACAACAACAGATGAACAAATTAAGGGAATTTGGAAAACCCAGCTTAACCCTACAAGAAATGTTAAAGGAGTACTTCCAACAGAAAACTAACAAAAGAAGACAACAACTTAAGATTAAGACACATGACAACACCACACAGAAACCAACCCAGGACAAGATTTCCCAAATCTAAAAATAAGCTTGCAAAATGGAAAACAGAGAATCAGAGGAGTCAATCTGTAAACAACACCAACTACAAAGCAAATAGAGGGAATAAATTGTATAATTACAAAACTTCCAAATGCAGAGGAATTGAGGATGAAATCAATATAGAACAGATTGTTCCAAACTTCTTGTTGTTGTTATGTGCCATTGAGTGGGACCCGACTCATAGTGACCCCTCTTTGGGTAGTTCCAAATTTAGGGAGATAAAAATTTACTACAGGGTAACCACAGAGAAAATTAATAGCCTTTTAGCCAAACTAAGAAATAAGAAAATCACAAGGACTTACTAACCACAAAATCAATAAAAATGAAGAAAAGGGAAAGAAAACTCAGTAACAAAATGAACTCAGCATGGAAAAACATTTGGAACAAACAAACCATCTACACCACCACAACAAATGAATGATAGCATTTTTTCATACCTGAATTGAATTGAATTTCACTCAATTCATACCTGCCATTAATTATGCTGAATATGAATTAATTAAATGCACCAGTCAAGAGAATGGTAGATTGGATAAGAAAATAAGAATCATCAATATGCTGCCTACAAGAGACTCACCTTAGACACAAAGATTAAAAACAAAGTGAAGAGCAACAGTTGAAAAAAATATATCAAGTTCATGAAAACCACAAAA